CCGTGGTGCTTATCAGCTTACACCACCATTCATGGGAAACTCTAGAACTTCTTTGGTTCTGTTTTGATACCTCAGCGATATTGTCAAATCCCGTCGCAATTTTAAGGGTTTAACGTTCGCACGGATGTTACGACAGTCAAAATTCGTCCAGCTAGGAGATTTCAACGGCCGGCTTGTCACTGGAAAAATTGTGCACCGAGTTCAGGTAAGTATGCTCAAATTTTCGGTGAGAATGTGGTTCCTTTTTGATTTCGACGTATTTTAGGATGATCTCTACATTGATTTCGGCTTGAAGTTTAATGCAGTCTGTAAAGCTCCACCTGTCAACTCAGAGTGAGTAGGAGCATTCTCATCCTGTAAATTTACTCTCTATGAGAAGGATAAAAGTTCAGAGCATATCGAGAAGGAGCCCTGGTACTGCTACGACTACATGATCCAGAACTAAGTGAGCAGTTTCTGGGTTCGATTCATGATTTGACGTTGCTCGAAGCTGATGCTACGTTGGTGAGGCTTCTCCGTCATGTTTCTGGAAAAGGTATGATTTTAGAGAGAATTTCGTGGAGTGATCCGTTTGCGATACCTTTGGTGTATCCATCAGTCTGTCCTTCCTCCCAGTTGACATTTGTTTAAAGTTTTCCTTGACCTACTGGTATGCATGCAAGTCGTTGTTGAGTAATCCTTTGCACTTGTAGGAGGTGAAAGAGTCAGGAAACCTCAAAAGGCATCTGTTGACGCGTCAACCACAACAACTGGTGATAAACTGGAAGGTACTAGTTGAGCTAATCGATATTCTCACCTTTAATCACGACCAGAATTCATTTAATGTGTCTAATAAGTTTGTATGGATAGGAAGCTTTGTTGATTTGTTTTGTTGTCGTTCAATTTTATCGATCAGCAGTCGATAAAAAATTTATAAGTACTTGTTGAGTGGCAGTAGTAGAGTACAGTGCAGTAAGCAACTCAGTACCACATGGTCACTTGTTCTAAACTGGCACTCGATCCCCCTTGTGTGACTGGCGTTACTACGGTAGCATAGTTCCTGTGTAACCGCTGTTACTGCTTCAGTGTCACAGCTTTGCGGTGAACCCATAATAGCACCTCTGTAGTCTCCTAATGTTGTCTGCTTACTTAATTAGCTGGAACTTGTTTTTGCAAACACATGTGTCCTTTTCCAGCCCGTCAATTAATGTTTGCACTCAGATGTTGGTTGTTTTTGTGCAATCGATATCCATGCGTGAATTGAGGGTGATGGTTTAACGCGTAAAATTAGTTTCTACCGGTTTAGAGTGTACTACTTGCGGATGTGGACATTTTTGTAACAAAATTAACAAATATTTGGCTGCCGGTTAACACATATTAAAGTTTGCATTTTCGGTTAATTTGATCCAACGGTCCTTCTAAATTGATTCCTTTGTGCCAATCAGAGGGTCAATTATTTCCAAATTTATCTCAATGTCTTGAAACGGTAAATATTGAAGATTTGAATGCGAAACCATTCTTTGTTTCATTCGGGGAAAAGCGGGAGAACAATCTTAATAGGTTTAATCTTTAACCCTCTTATCTATTGCTGACCGAAGCACTCTAGTTTTTCCCAGAACAGACAGCACAGTCAGAAGTTTTTAGTTAGGTCTGGGGTGCCTGTGGAGTTACTTCCACTGGCATTTTATTTGCAGGATTCGAGTGTTCCTTTGAGGTAAGTTGTGAATTCGCGAGTTCTTTGTTTTGTTGGAACGCTCAAATTGACCTCAGGGCGGTTTCCTGCTATTTATTTATTTGAGCACTCAAAACAAGCTCTCCACAAAGCTTTCCTGAGTAAATTTTGGGGAGTTTCCTACTGCTCCGGGGGAACCATGTCAGGTGGCAAATAACAATGTTAACCTTGCCCAAATAAGGAAAGAAAGGATGAAGTTCTTGGCGGTAATCCCATTTTGGTATGCTCCACCTCCCTCCCCCTCCCCCCCGATATAACACGATTTAAAAAAAGTCTAGTTTGAAAAGAAATCAAAACGGTCAGATCTTCTCTGAATTGGTGCTCAGTGAACACAAAAATATGCCAAGAGCTTTGAATAGTTTTAAAACGAAGGGGAAGAAAGCTGTTTGGAGTGGTCCCTAAAAGGAATTTTTCCTATTTTCATGGTTTGAAAGAAGAGCCAGAGCTGTACCAGAGCCACAACATCTTCTTTTAATTTCTAGCATTAATCCCGTGGCGTCGCAGGGCCCACTGTACTTGTTAATCGTCTGCATTTCCTCCTACCTACAGTATATACTGCTGCCCTTCGGCGGCATCTTGCTTGATCACGTCCCACGACATCTTTTTCCGAGGCTCCCCGTGGTTCCTACAATTTTCGAATTCTATTGGTTCTTTTATGGTTCTTTTATCGACTGATCCCATAAGTCTCTCGCTCCCGTATCCATACCCTCGTAGGCGCTGCTCTTTCATTTTCAACTGGGTAGTGATTGAAAGGTTCTAGTGGCGTGTCGTTTCTGACCCGATCGACTGCCCCCCATCTCTAGAGCCGATCGACTGCCCCCCATCTCTAGAGCCTCATTTCCTCTGAACGAAGTTGCCTTTCATTATTTAGCCAACGAACCAGCACTTGCTGCCATGGAACATCCTAGGGGTCGTCACAGTATGACGAGACTTTTCTTTGTGCCTCCTGGAATTCAGGTTATCTGAAATGGTGCCACTGGACTTTTTCCATTTCATCCATGCCGCGCCTGTTCCTTTCCTTTACAGGAGCTGAGAAGCAGCTAGTCCTTCTCACATTCACCCAAAACCTATTCTTTACCAACTCGTTCTGTCATCCTAGCAGCCTGTCTTCGAGTTCCCCTTTGCCTTCCGCTCTCGCGTCATTAGCTTAGCGGTTGGCCTTCAAATCGGTCCTGGAGTATTTTTGTGGCGACACCCGGTGCTAGAAGGGGCAGGGACAGGCTCAGAGTTTACCCTTGTACCCCTACCTCGACATTTGTTGCATTTGTTAGGCTGTGTGCAGTGCGTATGGCTGTCCTGGACGTATATTAACGCCAGGGAGATGAGGTGATCTAGAAAGATTCGTTCTGGTAATGCTCTCTAGAGACTTGCGCCTTCCCTAATATGGGGAATTCTAGGTAACAGTGCTTACCCATTTCTCGATACTTCCCCCCCCCCCCCCCCCCCCTGCCTGAACTGTTCTTGAGAGGTCGGGTCTCTCAATAGCTCCCTATTCAGTCGGCTAGCAACTCGTAAAGACTCATGGTATGAGCAATCCCCTATGGCAATTGGACCGCTCCGTCACATATTCCTTTTTTGGAAATGAAAATGACAACAGCTCTTCTTCCCGCATCTGGAACTTCTTTTAGGATTATATAGTTGACTTCCTGGTGAGCCACCTAATCCGCTCCACTGCCTCACTAGCGCTTTTAATAGTTCGATTGGTACCCTGTTCGGACCATTCGCATTGCCGGCTGGGATGTTAATCCCGGAGCCAAGAGATGTACCCAAGTGGGTTTCATTCAATCAGCCTTTGGTGACAATGTTGTGATCGTTCGGGCGCTTCTGTTCAATCACACTGGTTCTTCGGTTTCTGGTTCTTTCATAGTGCAAGGTCATAGTGCGACCACACAACGAAGTTGATGTTGATGTTTACGTGTTCCGTGACGCTTCTTGACGCACAGTAAGCGTTTAGCATTGATTTATAAGTCATCCAACCTCTCGGTGTCATACCAAGTGGAGCAGAGTTAATCGCTTTGATGCTTGAAAACAAAACCAACGACGTAGCGATAATTGCTGAATCCATTCTGGCAAAGGCTGTTTTTTATATTGGTTATTACTATACATTTACATAAACTGTTTATACAGCCGGCGCTTGCGAAACCGGGAACCCGCTGAAAGCTGGACTGTGATTGATCGGTCGCCCTCTGTATCCAATCATAAGCGCCTTAGCCGTTTTCAGTCACCAGTGTTCACATAAGCCTAGTCTGTAGAGATTAGCTTCGATTGAGGATCAGCATTAAGTTAATCTGTTTCGAATCCATCAGGAAATGTAAAGAAAACGACAAGGGATGAGCTCGAGCTGTTGAGGTCTTTCCGTTCGGTAGAGAAACGGAAAAAAGTCCGTTTAGCCAACTACATATATAGAAGCATGGCTTTTTAAATGCCCACGGACGAGATGGCATACTTCTATCTTGTTCTCAGATGTAAAAAAACGATAAAATGAATGTACAGAGCTTTCAGTTCGTTTTCTGTTCCGCTTTACCCATGTTCCTTTCCCATAGAAGGTCTTGCCCGAGTGAAGTTTCCTATTCCAGGATATTTAAGGACATTGTCTCACAATATGTATGTGAGACGAGCTTTTCTCCGCTTACACACGTGCCAGTAAGTCCCCTTCAGGAATTTTTCTGAATTCAGAACGTTGTCATCAAAAAGTAAACCCGTGCTGTATACGCGGCATCCTATCAATATATATTCTAGAGATGTGCACTCATTCAGTCTTCCTGTGGGGCCGTNAGGTATGCTCTCCTGTTCGGGGCTGGGACGCCCCGATTCGAATCTCCCGAGAATTCAGAGCTGCTAAATGTGTTAGGCGTATCCGTCGTTTTCGAGTTGTGGTACTCACTCATCGTTGCTCTAGAATGAGGAAACCGTCCCCGCTCTGGGTGTTGGGGTATGTGCATGAGTATGAGGCAAGAGCTCTAGGGCAAGTAAGTTGCACTTGGTAACGTCCTTCAAGTTGAGGTTGGGCAGGGAATCACCTATGCTGCGTCCCTTTACCCTTTGACGACAATTTGGATTTCGTCGTAAAGCTATTGGGACCACGCTCCCCTCCTTTCGCCCGCGACTGGCACTCACTGGTGGGTGGCACTGTCCCAAGAGATAATTCTTTCACTGGATTGCTGAATATAGCAAATGGTAAGAAACAACTCTTATAACTCGTTTTATATCTTATACTTATTTAATGGGGCCTACTGGCTTCACACATGCTTGACATGTAGTAAACAAACAAATAAACAAGAAAGTATTGTGCCACCCCAAATTGAGTGCAAAGCCTATGCGCCACTCATAGTGGCACCCACCGTGGGTGCCATTGTCGTCAAAGGGTAAATGGACGTGTTCTGTTCCGCCGAATTTCCCGTTCTCCCCGGACTACATGAATGAGCTACCCGGGACACTCTTCACCATTGTGAGGAATTATCAGTTTTACTTTTTCTTGAGTATGTTCATGCATGGACGAAGGTGGCGCAGAGCCAGGTGACGCCCTATCTAAGGGCATATTCTAAGGATCGAATCTCTGATCGATATACACCGAAGCCAACCAATCCTTCTATCCTTCTGGGCTGCGCTAGTTGATACCGGACTCGTCTAGGAGGATAAAAGTATGACTTGTATATTGAGCTTGCCAACAAGTCATTGTATAAGGCATATACGCATCCAAAACGTTACTACGGTTCTGAATAGATAATAATATTTGTCTGAATTCTGAGAGAATTCGTGTGCGGGGCGTATCCCCCCGAAGAGACTCCAGCCTTTACCCTTTTATTCACAAATTTACATAAAATCAATCTTAAGAAGTAATTGGTGTGTTTTTGTAATATATTAATATTTCCAAAATAAAAGCATTGAGGAATGTTCCTGTGGGAACGTTGATTCACAG